CTTACAGTTCCATTTTAAGCCCTGGCTGTATTCCCAGTCTTCCTGTAGGGGTGAACGATCGTATCCAGAATGCTAAGGAGCCATTAGTGGGTACCGCTCACGTCCATCATTTCCTGCAAGAAATAAGAAGGCTCCCATTGCTCACTTCTCACTTTCCAAATGCTATTTGCCTGGCTGTCATACGAGCATTCTGGTTTTAGCACTTCAAGATCCCCAGTCAATCTGTGCAGTCTTAGTGCCCCCCCCCCGTTCACACCTTGGCGTTCTCTCACTCAAAGGTAAGTGCAACAAATTGCTCACGACAAGGAATCGCATTCATTTCTAGGCGTGAACGGGGACTTGATCATCCATTCAATAGTTTTGAGCGTTCCCATTCACCATTCGCCGCTCATTTCCGTGGCCCCTGTTCACACCTGAGGGTTTTGTCGCCTGCAGGAAAACGCTCGTCGCTGCAAAATTGACCTGAGCTACTTTCTGACAGAGAACGCTTTCTGGCCCCATAGACTTCATTGGGAATCTTTTTGAGCGACAAAACCCTCGGGGTGTGAACAGGGACCATAGAGATGAATGAGGGTTGAAGATTGGGATTCGTTGTCTTGAGCGTTTTTTCACGCTTGGTTTTGAGCGACACAACGCCGGGGGCCTTCTCAACAACCATATTCCTGATCAATTGTAAGTTTAAAACTAGAAAACTCCTTTCCAAATTCTATGAGATCATTCTTGCGGAGGGTCGGAATGACATCCAGAATTCCTAAGAAGACTAGCAATGGGCAGTCGAGGGCGCGGTGAAGCGCACATTTTAACCGCGTCAAACACATTGTGCTCCAATGCGGTTCATGTAATTTTGATTGGCACTCCCAGCCCGTCTACACAATGCATCACAGCGCTCAGACCTAGACAATCTGTGTGATGTGGTGCATTGCGTTAAACCAAAAACAAGTTGGGTCCACAGCTTTGGGCAGCCCATTCAGAGCCCCGGTGGGAATTGGCCCTAGGCATTAAAGCATTTTTTAAATTTATATCCTTCCTGATTGGTCCATCTTCCCCCCCCAGCAGGATACATATGACCTATATAGACAACACAACGCATAAGTTCCTAGCAATAAGGAGCAATGCTATCTCCAAGAAACATTGCCCTCTTGTATCCCCATCGTCACTCGTATTGCCCCTGCCCCCCAGCACCCTGCCAAGGAAACGTCCGCTATCCCTTTTTGTTTTTTTTTGTTTTTTTCTGTGTGCCACAGACTCCGCCTGTGTTCTGCTGAAACAAAACACGGATCACTCGCATCCTTCCTCGTATTCGTCATTTTACCTGCTAAACTTGAGAAACAGACTTTTTTTAAAAATTTTTTTGATCAAGAGCCAAACTTCAAAAGGCCAAGCGCGTCAAAAAAAAAAGCCGGGGGCGGGAGGAGAGAACGCGTCTTCCTGCTCCCGGGGCACACACTGCACTACGGGGAGAACCGAAGGACAAAACACACAGCAATTCTTAACCTTGACTGCACTTTCAGCTCTATTGGACTGGACCCGCGTCCTTCTCTTAGGGGAACTGAGTTTTTTCTTTTTTTTTTTGATTTGAGTTTGGGACAGATGCTTTTATTTGGACATTTAACCTTCCAGAGTTACACTGCTCAATATCTGTGGTACATCATATGTTTTTATTTTACCTGCCTCAGTTCTGACGTCGCTGTATTTCAGAGTGACCTTAACCCTTTAGCTGCTGACACTGGTGTCACAGGGTCTCTTCCTGTCTTTATCTAGGACGTGCATGCAAAAAAAAAAAATCATTGTGTCATTTGCTTTAAAATTTGGTTTAGAGATTGTGGAAAAGGATGTAGAGTCACACTGGCCGTACACGCAGGGCTACTGCCCAATAATTCACACGGCTGTAGTCGA